AGCATGTCGTAGTACTCCATATGCCGACGGCGATCAGACCCAGGCTGAGGTGGGTCACCTGTGGTGGCGTACCCAAATTCATGTGGCCGAGGCTCTCCCCAAGTAGTCTGAACCCAAGCGTATGTTGGAGCAAAGACCACTCGAAATACCTCGGTTGTCTTGGTTGTCGGTTGCACCTTTTTCAATGTGACAACATTGTCGCCAAAAATAACCTTGCAGTCTGTCGCCAACAACGATCGAACTGAAGAATTCTGCACTTCGTCAGCCCGAAGTTGCTCAAACTTGGTACCTGAGGGCACATGTGGGGAGACCACTGGCAGGGCATGATCTTCAGTGACAATCATCTTGCCGTGCGCGTAGCCAACCGTCAGTTCTATGCAATTGTATTTCTGGCGCGGGAGTTGTATCCGCTCTTCCACCAAGGCATGTTGCCCACCACGCAACGTCATTACAATGTCTCCACGTTGCAACTCTTCGACCCGAATCCAACGACCTTCAAGCGTCTTGAAGGACGTCCCTGGCAAGTAGCATGAGTGGCACCTGTGGTCAAATTTCTTTTCCTCGAAAAGTTGAAAACGTGCATGAAACTCGGCCCGGTACTCCGGCGGTTCCAGCGCGGTCAGGCTTGTCAGTCCACACATCCGACACTTCTTGACGTCGAACGGCTGCAAATAGTTCACAATACGGACGATGCTTCCTGGCTGGGCTGCACTCCCTGCAGACTGCCTGGGCTTTGCAAGCAACATCTCATATCCCGTTGCCGCGTGACCTGCAAGAAAATTCAATGATTCTTTCATAGCACCGTAGGTGATCAGCGAATGCCATTCATCCGGCCACCAAGCCTGTACTGTGGCCTCGAACTTCGAGAACTCCTCCCCCAAAAATGCTTTTGAAGTTACCTGGGTAACCAAATTTTTGGTGATGAAATGAATTAACCACTTCAAGTCAAGAACCTTCGAGTGGTAAAGTTTGTGGTTGGCGCGTCCTGGTTGAAACCAACCTAGACTGAAGTTCTGCACGAATACACGTTCTGGTGCGTTAGTGGGGACCGGGAATTCCATTCAATGTCGTGCGGGAGCCCGGTGGAAGTGTCCTATTGATTGCGTAAATGATTAGGAACGGTCACCAGTGCAATCACGGGACCCAGTCTTCATCTTCCCGGCCGGCGAACTTCTCCTTCAGGATGACAGAGTAACATGGCCCAGCATGCAGTCTGATTTTCAAGGCCCCGTAAACCCTTCCCAGTAAGGTGTTGTCTTTCTGCATGACGTTATAGTACCCCAACAACTCCTGTCCATTGTGCAAGATCTTTGTGCGCATGATGCTGTTCAAGTAATCCACCAATGCCTCTCCAGGCTCGATTGTGACCTCCATGCTTTCCGATGTGATTTTCTCACCACAATCTTCTCTCTGAGAGCTGCATATACAGTGGTGTAGGTACTCAAAGCGCCATTTTTGGCGCAAAAGCTGAAATTTCCAGGGCTCAATGATGTATAGGTCCGCGACCGGCTGAGAATGCTTCTCTGGTAGGCTTTCTTCTTTTGCCTTGTAGTAGTCTTGTTCTCTGCTTCTTTCCTTGTCCAGGTAGAATTCAAGCGCAAATCGAACGGACTCCTGTTCTCGCATACGGGCGGCTTGACACATTTGCAACAGTCGGCACAAAGAAATTGCCCAGGGTTCCCCTACGTACAACATGCAGGCTGCCAGACTGAGCAGCCGCGTTGATGGGCCGTCGGGTACTCTTGAGGACTCCGTAAGAGCGATGAATCCCGGCACCACACAGAAAATACCGACAAGAACCGGGTACGCCCAGTAGAACTTAAAGGCCTTTTGCAGTTCTGTTTGAAGCATTGCCATTTCATTGTTACTTTCAGCCGCCCTGCTGCCTCTGCAAACCGTCCGTGCCATCATGCCAATGGCCATAAAAAGAGACAGTATCTCTGCTAGTTGGATGAAGAAGCCGTAAGCTCGCGTTGAGAAGTGGATCTCGTAGTAGCCACCATCCCCTCTACCTGTGTAGGAAAAATGTCCCACTTTGTCTGGTTGCTGCATGACGAATATGGTGAACAGGATTGCCAGGAACATCACCGCCATGTGATGAAGTCGATGCGCTGGTCGGATCGTCCCCCTGTTTGCGACGAACTTTCTCGCCAGCAACAGGTTGAAGTACGAGTTCCACAACTTCTGCCCTATCCAAAAGAAAACTGTAAGAGCAGACAGTATTGGATAATGACGTGGTCCGGGAGTGTGCAACCACTCCAAGATCATAGTCATTACGCACAGGGTGCCCCCCAGTGCGTAGAGGGCGGTCCAAAACATCACGTCTCCGGGGCTGGTCTCCCACATCCCGCTCTTCCATGAATGCCCCGCTAGCAGCAAACACATCGGAATGTTGATTGCTGTGACGCCCACACACCACCATCCAAGGGTTGTGTCGAAAAACATGTCGGCGCTGATAAAAGGTCTTGCTAGGCTGCGACGGCATGAAGCAGATGGTTGATACAGTTGTTGCTGCTCCTGGGGTGAATGGGTCGGATCAATGTCTATAGTGCATGTTGTGGCAACCTCGATTAGTTTCTGCTTGTGATCGAAGGCAACAAATCTACCAATAGCAAACAGTTCGGGCTTTGGGGGTCATTGTCTGAGCCAGTCAGAACAAACAATCTTCACAAGCAACTGCACAAACTCAAAGCTTTGGTTGGTTACAGCAGGCAGCGGGGTTTTGAGCGACAACGAGCGCACCATAAATCCGTGAGCCTTCCACCAAAATCTCGGTTCTGTCATTGTGTTATGGTCTTTGTATATGTATAGACACCTGATCTTGAGGTAGCTAGGGATTCAAGCATGTGGGACCCGTTGCACTAGTAAAGTGCCAGGAAAACTCAGACGAGAAACTGCTGACTACGTGCAGTTGCAAGCAGTGACTAGAAGAGTTAAGTACCTAGGAAAGCGTAACATCAGCAGAAGGGATTGGACATTGCGAGTAGAAGAGGAGGGCATGGTCACCGAAGAATAGAGAAATTGCAGAGAAGAGACACGGATTAACATGGGAGAGAAAGACGGAGAGGAGTCATGGCGCTCTATGATGTCGACAAAGAAGAGAAGGCAAAAAGGCAGAACGGAATGCTGCCCATTGTCGGATGAAGTCGAAACTGCGCAAACCGAACTCAGCTTGCTGACCTCCGAATGTCCGCCAGCATCATCCACTTCTTTTCTTCACATTCGATATGTAGCTGCAAAAGCCACTTGTATCTCACGACCTCGCAGGTGGATGGCGACGCTGGACAACATGTTCCAAGTGAGGCCCCCCTGCGAGCCGCTTCTTGTGGCCAAAATTTGTAAACTGTACAGAATGCCCAAGGCCTTGACCCAAACAACTTCAGATGGGCCTGTTGTACAAGCATGGGGGACGAAGACCTAGAATTCCAACTACAACACGCAGTGGTTCTATACTGATTTGTGTTGCAAGGGTGGGTCCTGGGTCGATTAGCATTCGCCAAATTAGCAAAGACCCTGCACTGCAAGATCCAAGCAGTGCTGCAAGCACTGCTCATTGTAGCTTCCTCCCGCCCCGCACCGCAGCACACAGGCCTTAACATCACCTCCTGGACACGCTTCTGCATGATCTCCGTAGTGCATAAGCACCGCTCCAGCTGCAACGAGCACGACGGAGGATCCAATGATGTCCTGGAAAGCCGTCTCGAAAGGCCCTCCCAAATCTGCCGGATTGCAATTGCACCTGCTGAAGAGCAGCGGAGCCAGACTTGCTGTGAGGGTTGCAGACAGGCACGACATAAGCTGACCCAGAAAGATGGCGAACCCAAAGGCCAATGCACCTTTGACTGTATGGCCACCTGCTGAAGGGCTCCACAAGTACCAAAAGAGCGAAATTACTCCCACCACCGTGCTCAAGAGGGCTGCGATCAGCAGGCCGGGCAGCAGTTCGTGCCGAAGCCCTTGGCTCAGTTGGCGGCCATGGAAAAGGCCCAGCGGCAGGCCTCTTGTGATGGTGGCCATTGTCTGAAGCCCCACATTCCCGGACAGAGCCGAGATGACCGGCTGGAAGGCGATGAGGAGGGTGTACCTCTTGAAGGTGTCCTGTCGTCAAACACACACTCTATGTGATGTCTGATAGCCGAACACCTATATCATGTGAATTATAACGACTGAAAGGCCAGGCAGTTGCGAACAATCTACCGCACCACGGTTTGCAAGGCGCGCAAATAACACACGTGCAACGTGTCACACTATGTGAAACACCTTGGCGAACAACTTCGAACTGAATTTTGAGAGCATGCTTTGCAAGACACGGTACTTTTCCCTATGCACTTTGCGAAACACTGCACAACATACTTTCCAAAAATCTGCAAGCACTGGTATGTGCAAAGACTGCTTGGACAGGGCACCATTCAAGCACTCAATTCTATCAGCAACCGCATCCTGCAAAGCATAGACGAAACACTTTGAGGACGCGCTTTACAAGTCACCTTGCACGGCCGCTTCATGCAGAAGCCAACGCATACGATTGGCAAGGACACCTTGCCAAGTGTGCCGTGTCCTGGGGAAAATGCCTAGACATTCGGTTCTCCATTCCCTGCCATATTGTCTGTTGCAGTTTCAGTTTCAGTCCTCTCTGCTTTTTGCTGTTGGTGCAACAAAACAGCAATTCAGCGCTCCACATACATGTGGGCTGGTATGTTGCACTTCTCCGAACAAAGCTTATGTATACTGGCTTCATGTCGCGTGATAAATAAATAGACATCTTGCTCCCGAATTCTTGTCTTGTGGCAGAGGCAACGTGTCTGTCTAGTCCTGGTATGATGAGATGAAAAAGGCGACAATGAGTTCGATGATGAGCGTCAGCCCCAGCGCCGGCATGCGCCACAACGCCCGCTTCCACACGGGCAAATCGTGGAAGGCCCGCGCCTTTGTCGCAGCTCCTCGTGCATCTTCAAGCACAGCATCTTCATTGATTTCCACCTCAGGGGTCAGAACATGCTCACAACTACAATCCTCAGCGTCCTTCTGAGCCATACCCCTTCAACCCTACATGTCAAGCCATACATCCACCTACCGACCTACCGAGCTCTGTACCGTTTGTTCAGCATCCAGCTTGCAAACAGGATAAATCCTACCATGCGCTCAGAGATCACACTAACTACATCAAGAAACAGCTGCCATTTTGTATTGAGCACTCATGAGATCCTACAGAGCAGGTACATGCAAATCCACTGTTGGCTTGTCCACACGATTGATGTCAAGAATTGAGCTGGCTACTGCCAATGCCACCACAAAGAAGAACCTGGAGATTCTCCATCGTCTTCTTCCGTCTGAAGCTGGCTAAGTGGCGACAAGCGAGAGGTAGGGCAAAGGAGCTTTGAGCAAAACAAGGCACAGTGACACAACCATGGAGTGCGCGGCTTGCATCCTTCGGCTGTCGTCCAGGCGGGTTTTAAAGGCAGGTGTCGCCGTTGTCCAGATCCGATTGGCCTTCGCCATGACTACCCCACCACCGGTCACTAGTCGCCAGGAGGTGGACCTGGGATGATCCCATGTACGCTTTGCTGCCTGGACCCACGGACCACGTCGGCTGATTGTCAAGGGTTGGCACGCAGGAACTTTTTGCGAAACCCCCGTGTCCCAAACCCGAGCTTCCAACCCAAATAAAGCCACCACACACGACAATCTTCTGAGCAGTTCCCCTCATGACTTTTCGCAGTGGGCCAGAAACAAGTTGTCGAGCGACTGATTGATACTGAGAAGCCCCCATGATGACGTGCTGATGAGGGACAGGGAGATGCTGTGCGAGGAAGGTCTCCCAGAGGAGTTGTTCCACGTGCCAAACTACGGAATGCTATCTTCCCTAATTTCACAGATCACCACAAGCAGATCTTTTTGATTTCCCATTCAGAAGGCCGCGTCAGCGAATTGCTCATGTACCTTTTGCAGTCAGCAACATTCATGCTACAGTTAGGGTCGCATCTTGCCACTCGCACATGTCATGTTGTGATTGTTGCACGCGAGAGCCTCCAGCAGTTTGGCATCTTGGCGCAATGGAAATGCCTGGACTCGTTGCGCACGTCTGATGCGGCGAGGACGGCTTCAAGATGCTTCAAGCAAATGCAAAGCGACAGCAACAGGCCAGTAGGACGCTGGATGTATCCTCGAGGTGCTTCAGATACCTGCGTGGGACTTCGAGACACACGTGCGTCGGTGTTAGCAAGTCAGCATTCAAGCACGATGCAACTTTGCATGCAACGAAGCCTGGTCCTACTGGCTGCCTCCTAAGCCCATTGAGCAAAGCAAACAATTCCACCGTAAGCCGACCCACTCGCTTTCATCTCACGGACTTTTCTGAATCGATCTCAAGCCCGAGTGCTCCTCATGGCGCGTCCTGGGCCTACGTCAGGGATGAAGGCCCACAAGCTGCACGAATTCCACGTAACTCAGCTCCTGGGCTGTTGAACTCACGGCTCAGTCACAGGACAGCTTTGTACTACAATGGTCCTCGGGAAGCCCGGCGTTCAAGGCTGCCACTTCCTCGTCGGAAACCTCGAATAAACTGCACGAGCAGGCGACCAAAGGAGCCTTGAGTTCTGGGAAGCTGGCAGCTTGCCCCACCTGTGAGCAGAGCCCAAGTGAGCGTACTCAGCCTACCATGACTGTAATAAGAGCTCTTGGTCTCCTGCCTGCAGCGCAGTCTGCAACGTGGACTTTGGCAAAGTCCGCCCGGAGCTCTTTGAGTCCGCCAAGCGGCTGAAGGCGCTCCTGAGCTGTGCCTCCTCTCAGGGGTACAAAGCACCACGTGATCACAAGAACACTTCACAACCCAAGGACCCTCAGAAGCAGCTAAAGGCGCTCCTGCACAGCGACATGGTAGGGCCTCACAGCTTCAGAAGTATAAGAGCTAAGGAGTCTTGCTGATCGCTCTAGGCCATTCTTGGCAGCCAGCAACATCACGGCCAAGAAGTCGCTGAAGCCTATCTTGTCTCCCACTGTCCCCGCTGTTGCCACCAAGGACCTTCGAGTTACCACGGCATAGCCTCCGCTCCTACAGCTTCGCAGGCCATGTGCCTGATCTCCTCCAGCCATTCCTCGGCATCACTCTGGGCCTGGGCAGCACAGCACCAGACCCGCCCGGCGGCAACCCTTCGACTCGGCTGAGATTCGAGCGTGGAGGCTCAACATGGGGAAGAGGCCGGAGCTGTCGCGGTCTCTCTGAGCATTTGGCGCCGTGCCTGGCGGTGCCAGCAAATATGAAGACTCTTGCTTGCACTTCTCTCTTTGCATGGTTTGGCTGCGACCTTTTCTCCAGCATCCTTCGACCAATCGGTCAATCTTGGCCGCTTGGACAAGCCAGGAGACACTCAGAATTCCAAAGGCATGAGGATTGGTTCGCATCCAACAGTGATTCAACTTCATCCTTACCATCTTTCCTGTGGCGATTCGCTGAAACTTTCGCCTCACCTCTGCGTAATCCGCCGTGACCAGAGGCCGGATCTTGGCCTATTCCATAGGACCATGTAATGATGGTATCACCCTCCCCGATTACCCCTGTTTATGCAGCCCCAACCAGCCAATCGGCTTCGTGTTTCCTGTTGCTTGCCCGTTTTCGAAGGGGTCCGGTAGGAAGATCTGCCACTTTCACAGTTCTTGGATCCCACCGACGTTTGTGAGTTCCCCACCCCCCTTTGGTCCACCCGCCCTTCGTTTGTGGGCAGGGCTGTTGTCGCGCTGGGGGAAGTCTTGCAAGCCGTGGCTGCGGACAGTAACACCTCACTCGAAGTCACGACATAAATGCAAAGCGACGGACGAGACAGAAGGTTGAAGGGTTTCGCCGAGGCGGCTCCCGTGCTGGCGTTTAAAGTACACGGCTAGTCTTTTGACAAGAATGCAAGGGGACAGGACAAGGCAGGCCTCGAAGCCCAGCAGACAAATCTGAAGCGCTCAAAGCACCGTCCCCATCGCAGTCCAATCGAAGAAAGGCGCCTGATCCAACAGCAAGCGGCATGGCTCGCGCATTACTTTGAACCACTGGCAGTAGACTTAGACTTTGGTTTTTTCCTCCCTCATCCCGCCCTCTGCATCCCCGTCCCCGTCGCTCCTCGGAGGCCTTCCTGGCACGGAGCGTAGTAACCACATCAGCACACTTCGCACAGCGCCCACCGGTCCTGCTGCACTTCCGCCAGCTCACGCGCCACCAGCCGCAGGAAGGCCTGCAGAACCAAGCACCAAACACGTTCCTTTCATAAATCAAATCCTCCACCACGCAGAAGGCACGGGATGGCACAGGTCATCACAGCTTTTCGCGCAGAACCGCTGAGGCAAGTCCGCATCATGGGTCGTGGTGAGCGGGAAGTATACGGGGTACACACTCATCACCCGCCCAGGAGAATGCGTGACGAGCAGGTGCCGTCAGGGGTCTAAGTAAGTGCTTAAAGTCATGCGCCCCCGCGTAGCAAAGGGGCTTCATAGCCAAGAGCGTCGCTTTCCATCCACGGGCTCGGAACCCACCAGACTTGTTTGCACAAGTCGGTCTGGAGTAAGTCCGTTCAGTGGAGTCATAAGCAGTCTCAGGCGCCTAGATGCGGGGGCTCCCTCCTGAGATGTCACTCGACGAGTTGCTCTGTGGTCGCTGCCAGAGACCTTCTTTGCTGCATGTCCAAGCAACGGATAGGGCTGGATGGAAAATTGGGCGAAGCCTTAGCCCATGCCAAGGACATCCCAGGACACAGCGGCTATGCAATGAAAGCACAGGGGACGCCCGAACTCGCCCAGTTCGACCACTCTTGGCTCTTGGTCTCGAAAGTTCACTCGCTGCTCACTACACTGCACTTGGCAGCAGTGAAACTGCATTCGTATGTTTCGAATCTCTTAGTAATCCTTCTTCTCTCCTTTCTGCTCTCCTCTCACACAGAATGGGAGCCCATTTCCGCACATTCGTCTTAACGACATCTAGGCGCTGAGATAGATCCATCTGGCCGAACGATAGGGATGTCCACCTGTGCAAAGCATGACAGGACTTCGAACTCGGCATGAATCGCAAACACTTCCCTGCTGCCTCAAACCGCGTGTTGCACTTTTATCAAACAGACCCTCTGCCGCATGGATAAGCCGTGTTGAGCAATGAAAGACTGCTCAAGTTGACACCGACGGCCGGGAACCCCAGCGTCGACGTCACATGTATGAAACATCCTTGCTGCCTTCAGCATGCTGGAGCGGTCGGGGCCGACCTCAAGGTGTGCGCCACTGGAGTGTGAGTCAACTGCTTCAACCCAAGGGGGTGCTAGGGACTTTTTCTGACGTCTTATGAGCATTATGCTGATGCTGTGATACAGCACTTCAAGCACATATCGGGTGCAGCGCAAACCCAGCGGACCTAGCGCACGAAAGAGCACAGAGGATCAGAGGGCACCGGTTCTGCACAGCACACCAACTCCAATTCTTGCCGTCAAGTCGCTCCCACCCACGAAACAGGAATCCCCAGGAGTTCCTGGATCCTGCTCGTATGCGACGTTGGGGTTTTCAGGCCTCTCTTTTCCAGCGTTTTGAACACTTCGATGTCCTCAAGACGTACTTCTTTGCGTTGCTTGGTAGGTCGGCGAAGTCCGTGACCTTGGAAATGTCCTCGGACCAGCCTTGCATCGTCTCGTATTCACCTGATATGCAAGGCCGATTGCAGGACAGTGCTGGGATGCAGCGCGTACATGATTGGTGCTAGCCACGAAGTCGAGCGACATACGACCTCTTTCAAATCCTCAAGGTGTGAGGGAAAGTAGCCTGGCGGCAACCGGACCTGCAAACACGCTTCAGCTGCGAATCCGCAACTCCCATGTGGGCGTAGGCAGGGCCCAGCCTCTGTCATTTGCTTGTTGCGATATGCTATCGCAATTCGGATTTGCCTGAGGCCTGTTAGGACCTCGGCTCAGGCTCACTTCGTTAAGAAAAGATGCGGCTCTCCGTCCTGTCATGAGCTGGGCTTCTCGCATCTAGTTTGGTGAGGTTGATGCTGTCAAAGCCGTTCCTCGCAAAAACTCCACCCCCCCCCTCCCCCCACGCATCTGGAGACTCGTGTGTCATGCCATGCCATGCAGAGCCAGAGCAATGCAAGCGCAGGCCCTGAGCTCTACTCTAATTGCTATCCATTGTGGGTGCATGATGCAAGCGCAGCACGACTTCGGACCGATGGGACCCAACGGAAGAAACCCCTTGCAACCTGAACAAAAAGCTCTCTTGAGCTGAGCTTTATTCAGGGTTTGCTCAGCGAGGAGGAAGCCGAGCCGAGGGTCACCATGGCACTGTACTTCACGAGTGCGAGATCCAGCCAACCGCATCTGCGTCGCCGTCCAGTGGTGGTGCCGTACTCGTGGCCCACTTCTTGGAGCATCTCTCCGACCCGAACCTGTGGGCCATAAACACTCTGGGGCTCTTTATTTAATACAGGCATGTCATGGCATGTCTTGGTCTGATCGTCTTGATGCAGCGCAAGTCATCATGATCTCATTGTCTGATGAGCTTTCTGGCCTGCTGTTCCGGCTTGAGCTCGTAGGGACCAGAGCTGTGACCCTCCAAGTCTGCACTATCACTGACAATCACTGCTGCTGGAAGTCAACGAGTCGCAGGCCTTCCGGGCCATGGATTGTGCAGGGCCAATGTACGTCTCCAGATGATCATCCAGAGTCTGTGCTTCGTTTTGGAGCTCCTCAGTTCAGGTGCAAAAGAATGGCGAATGGGCGGACTCTCACTCTGTGGATCGGTTTTGCACGTCTTCTGAATCCGAGCGTCGGTTGGAAAGGGACCATGGCCGACACGCGTGGTGTAGGCCTCCCATGCGACTCGGTCTTGCGCAGTCACACAAGACTGCTGCGTTGACACGCCTTCACGACCCCGATGACGGTGTCGATCTGCTTTGGTGGCACGCCCAGACCTTCACATGCCCATTGCCCATTGCCAGTGTTGCACGACTGGAATCATGGACCTGTGCAGACGCTTCCGACCGTCGTGTTGGACGATGTGACCTCACAGGTTGGAGAGTCCCCGACAGGGGGGGGGGCACGCAGCCAACAAACAGTGATGCTTTCGCAGTTGCTCCCTGCGAGCTTAAGTGCATGGCAAAGGGATATGTGCCGAAGTCAATGTCCAGGAGCGCCGCATTGGCTCCCTCAACGAGGACCTGAGAGAGAGAGAGAGAGACAGAGACAGAGAGAGATAGAGAGACAGAGAGAGATAGAGAGGTAGTAGATAGAGAGATGCATGCAACGATGCTTGACATTCGCCACTCTAACAGCTTCGTGCTGCTGCTTTAGAGCCTCTGTACTTGCACTGAGCAGTGTCGAAATGGATCAAGCATACGGAGTGTTTGTGTAGTGCGAAGAAGATGCCTTGTAGCCACGTGAGATATCCTTGGTCCCAACGAACATCAGCAGAGCAAAAGCTTCTCCATCAGTGAACATAGGTATGCTGGGTAAAAGCAGCTCGAATGCAGGACCAAGGTTCCTCATGGATCAGCGTAACACTGTCCACGATTTGAGGGCGAAGCATTTCAGCAAATTGCCGATATCGTGCTATCTCCTCGCTGAAGGTGACAGCCAGGTCAGCAAAATGACGGGAATGACAACTCAAGGGTCTCCTCCTCGACGTTACTCACTCCACCTTTCTTGCCTTCCTCTGGATCGAAGGCATACTTGGTGTTGTATTCCCGTAGTGCCTGTCCGAACTGGCAGCTGGGGCAGAAAGGCTTCAGTAATGTGAGTAGAGCAACGGCAAAACAGCTGGGCGGGCAGCCTTCCGCAGCTGCAGCTGAGCCGGAGTGTCCTCTCAAACTTGATTCAAATACCGCTGTAATATAGGGGACTTACTTAATAAATATAACAGGGCTTTGGGGCCCATTATACTATGTATAATCATAGAAAGGAACCCCCAAAATAGTATGAGCTGTAATCTCTTGAGACAAGTCCGATTTCGAATGCTAGCTCCAGTCCCGCTCGCGAGGGTCGCCAAATCGCTTCCTGGGCAACGCGGGAGGTGGTGATCGAAACACAAAGCAATTAAAACAGCACGCCGCATGGCCTGAGCTCTCCATCGGCTACAGTGGATTGAAACTCCGTACAGTACGGGCTCAGGCGGAATTTGAGCGACATGATTTCTTCGTGTTTGGGCTCACTGTTTGCGCACCGGGCTGCTGCGACCATGCGATGAGTTCACGGAGACGTCGCTCGAACTCCTACTCTCACGGACGCATGGGTATCATCGGACCCTTGCATTTCCAGTCTGTCATAACCCAAGAAATCCCGAGCCATCCCACTACAAGTGTATGGGACAAGCTCAAGCATGAAGGCGCGGCCGAAGACCAGTACCCCGTCTAACAAACCCTTCGAGAACCAGACCCTGTCAGATTGGGGCGCCTCGAAGTGCAAGAGATCACCAAACCGGAGACCGTTTCCTTATAGCGCCATCTGGTGTTTGAAATTGTGCTTCGTGCGGCGGGAGACGAGTCTGCATCTCTTCCAAGGCACGAATTGCCTTCGCAGAGTAGCATGGGCCAATCCCGCGCTTCGTGGTGCCAATGGAATTGGTGCCCTGCTCAGTACTCAGATATACTCAGATGCTCACTTACGCTGCCGCTGCGGAGATCTTCTCAAATGCCGCGAATCTGCAAGCAAGCTCTACTAAGAAACAAAACTCACACCAGAGGCGTGTCTGAGCACACACAAGTGTAAGCATAATACGCCTAATCTGCGCTAGTAAGAACGAATAGAAGAAAACGACTAAAAGTAAGAGTAATACTGCTTCAAACAGTCGTCGTAATGTCACCTTGTATAATAATGGTATTCATACTACTACTACTACTACTACTACTACTACTACTACTACTACTACTACTACTACTACTACTACTACTACTACTACTACTACTACTACTACTACTACTACTACTACTACTACTACTACTACTACTACTAACTACTACTACTAACTACTACTACTACTACTACTACTACTACTACTACTACTACTACTACTACTACTACTACTACTACTACTACTACTACTGCTACTACGACGACGACGAAGCCACTCATGACAATGATAATGACATACTGGAAGAAGATGATGTCCCGTCGGCCTGCTCTGCCTCGAGGATGCCATCGATAATCTGCCGAGGTCACAGCGCTCCCCGGCCCGGTCCCACTCATGCGCGTCTATAAGGGTGACTGCAGGGGCTTCTGCACCCGAAGCTGCTGCTAGGGAGCCTGGTGGCTGTCGAAGAGGATATGGGCGCCTCTGCAGACATCAACACAACACGCAAACTCACCCGCGAGGTTCACGACACGGGGCTTTGTGTCGTCCGAGTTCACGGCGTGTCGAAATGAACACCCTCTCGAGTGCTCGAGGGTCGAATTCCTTCAGCTCCTGCTCTCAACAAAGAAGAACATCAAGCTCATAGAAGGAGTCGTTACATGCTGTTACAAAACCATGCGGCTTGGCGCCTGCAGTTCCCTCATGAGCGTGGGGACGTGGACCACGACACCTCGGATCAAAGGCACTTGTCCAAGTCTCCAACAGTGGCTGCAGTTCAGCGCATGGGTAGCTAGGCAGCGCGCCATTTCCAATGAGGTTCTTGCAAGCCTGTGGCAAGGTGCAAAGAGGCCTACCGCAGCTTTCACGAATGGCCTTCACCGGCAGCTGCTACCTGATACCGATTCGTTCAACCGCAGTGTAAGCACATAGGCTATTATGTGCCCATGTGTACAGCGTGACGGCAAAGGTGGGATCATGTTGTTCTGCTTGCTTTGCCATCGGTGCTATGTTCACCCGCAAACGATCTTGGTGTAGCCGCCGCCCGGCACGACGTGGCCAGGATGTTTATTCCTAGTTTTGGCAGTGTAGCTGGACAGCCGTGGCTAGCCTCCAAAAGCGCATGCACTTTGCAGAACCGCAAGTCCGAGTTTGCTCTCCCTGCAATGTTTCTTTCTCTTTCGTCTCTCACTGAGAAACGGTGTGACCCCCGATTTCAGCAGTTTGTTCCTCTCGCGAGGCGAGCAGCATTTTTTGGGTAAAAGGCGCTGAACAGACCAGCTCCCATTGCAGCTAGCGACTTCTCACTTGCATCTGCATGCACGATCGGTGTTTCTTGGCGTGTCCAGCATGCAGGAGGATCGGATCTCCATGGCCCTGTTGTGTAACTGCTTAGTGGTGGCCGGGCTCCCAAAATGCACAAATGAAAGTGGCCTTGCAACCTTCGGGCCCAGACTGGGATGCAATGGACTTCACGTACCGGTACTTCCAGAGAGGAGCGAAGACTACCATGGGTTTCGGACTTTGCTTGTTCTCGCAGACCCTTCTAGACGATTTCCGTTGCCAAGTTCTTGCATGCTCTCTGCTCTCTGGCGAAGTGCGACTATATCACATGTTGACCGAGATCCGTAGCTGCCTGGTTGATCATTCCGCAAGGGAGAAGATGAAAGGCATACCTGAAGCTCCGTTTAGTTCAGAGGAATTTCGGAAAGACACCAAACAAACACCCTCGGCTGCATCACACTCGGGTGAAGATGAGCTTTATCTCCGCCGAGCTGCTTCTTTCCATCCACGAGCCTAAGGAAGGACACGCAGCCGATAATGAAGGCTTCTTTCCCCAACGACTTTGAGAACTCACGTTGTTGTTATACTATGCTCTGCAGTCCGTGAAGCGAACGAGCACATAAACATATATAAACATATATATATATACACATATACACATATACATATACATATGAATACCTCTATATATATACATATACATATACATATGTGTGTGTATGTGCATACACTTATATGCACAACCCACCTATTTCATCAAGGACGCAGAGTGTGTCCAGCATTTGCTCCGCCATTGAAGCGTGCACACAGCTGGACATCCTGCGCCAAGATGTCCACTAGCTTGCCCTTGCCTTGGGAAGCGAAGGCATGTAATGTCCGCTTCTGAATTGGGGGTATGAATAGCCACAGTTGACTACATCCCTCTGCGGTTTGCAGTTAAGAGGCCCTCGTCACCCCACCTTGCTTTGCGACAGCATGTCGAGCAGAACATCCACTATAGCACGCATAAGGCATAAGCTTTTCATCCACAGGGTTGCACATTAAGCACATACACACGCACTCATGCCTGCATGCATGGACAGACGCAGTTGCCTGTGTGTCTGTGTGTGTCATGGTGTTTTGACGTTCGCAGCCAACTACGGATACGTAGGCGAGCAAGCGCTTACATAGCAAGGACTAGCTAGCAAGCCAGCTTCCTAAGCAGAGTCCAGCATCCAGTTTCACGCACATGTCATGCATTCATTACGCTGAATATTACTTTGAAAGCATTCGAGAACAACTGTGCGAAAAACAGCAATTCGAATTCGGACCAGAGTCTGTGCTCCGAGTACGACGCAAAACCGTGAATCTTCGCCACTAATGGCTCGGTCCAGCACCTTGATCCCCTTCAGCTTCGTAGCCTCACCACGCCAGCTCTGCTTGTACCCGTGCCCTCCCTGCATTACGTCTTGGTTGCCAAGGCGACGACCATGAAAGCTCTGTCGCCTGGAAGTTGGCACTGCTGCATATCTTCGTAAGTCTCTAAGCCACCCAGCAGGAATATTCCCTTGCAACACCGCAGTGAAAGGCAGCTGTGCCACCTGTTGGGCTTTCTTCAGCGTCCACGTATGTCAATATCGGGCACAGGAGCTGTGACGAAGACTACGACGATTGCAAGAGTTGACGGGCTTGCTGAAGTACGCTTGTTGCTCAGCAGTACCAGAGCATGGCTGTCGATGCTGTGCTGATGTCGGACGGTATAACCAGGACATGCAGTAACCATGCATGCAAGAATCCAGAGCTGCTAGCCAGGACATGCTGCGGTACGCACGCTGCGGGATGCGTCCAGAAACGTCGGGAATCGCGGCAAAAAAAAGAAGCGAGCCGCGGCCAGCCGGCCGGCCTGTCGAAGCCGTGCCCTGGTGCTTCCGACATAGCCTTTAAGGCAAGATAACGTGCTTGAAAGGAAATCAAAATAGGCGTCGGGGCACAGCCAAACGCTCTTAGCGCCGCTCATGCACAAGATTCTGTGACCACTGCCAGCCTGGTAAGGCAAAGCTGCGCAAAGCATCGACAACCTGGCATCATCAGCCATCAGACCCTCGAAACTGTCGCCTTTGCTCCAGGGAATGTCCGGCGATTTGATGCAAGTTGCAATTCGGCTTTTCCTCAGAATGCAATGGGGTCCACTGCCCATATGCCGTCAATTGGCTCTTTGGCTCTGGCTCTGACCATGGGTGCGAAAAATCGATCGCGGCTCAGAAGTTCGCTTCAATTCTTCACGGGTTCCAAGCGTCCTCGACGGAAGCCACGCCGACTCACAGCTCGCATGAAGAAGCTCAGAGGCTGTGCACAGGGAAGCTCGTTTTTAACCACAGCCGGCAGCCCCAGTTTTCAGGACCAGAATGTGAAGGTCTGGCGGATGGCGTCGAACCTTGTGATGTTCCATGTATCTACCTGGGAGCCGATGAGCCCGTCACTTGTCAGGGTGTACTGGATGCTCCCGGACCTTGGCAGGACGATACTGCTTCTAGTCTAGCGGGGTTCCTTTGCAAGGGCCACTGTTGGCACTCTGAGACGACGTCCATGGCTCGATACGAGGACGCCAAGGCCTCAAGCAGCAGATCTTCGGGGGACGAACTCGGCCCAATCGACCGCCCAGGGCTGCGGCAGCTTCAGTGTGCCACCTGCGACGTATTTGGCCTGGATGCCACCATCGACCACAGCAACGTCGTCAAGGTTCAGGAAGCTTTCCTTCAGCCATCGCCCAAGGGCGGCAAAGCAATTCCGGCGAGACCTCCTAAATCCCTGTTACAACTTTTCTGGAACTCACTTCAAGTCAAAGCCTCTGATGGATCGAAGAGCAGCGCCAACGCTTGGCGATACTGTGCAAGGCCCGTCACGGCATTGTTGGGATCGACAAATCGGCAATCGTTCGCGAAGATCGCTGTTGTGAGATTTCCGGTGAGGATATATTTGCCTTCGTGCATGTGGCACAAGCAAGCGGCCGGTCAACAGGAGTTTCGGGACGGAAGGTTCAAGACCTGCCAAAGGAGTATCAGTATCCCAGTATCCTTCATCCTTCATGAAGCTGTGCCAGATTGTGCCCGGTGGCCGTCTCCGAGGTCTCTGCGCAGGATGTCAGCGATCTCCGCAGGTCTCAGTCCTCGCCTGCACGACGGCTCCACAAGCCCCAGGGTAGTATTTAGTAATTCGTGCAATAAATGTCTGTGCTGGCGTGGACGGCGCCTTTTCGCGCCGTCTTCGGGGTTGTCCTTCCACAGGAAGGACCACTCCTCCGAGGCAAGACAGGAACAATACGCTGTGGCAGAGATGTAGACGGAGCTCACGGGTGCATGCAAGGAGCAAACGGTCTCTGTACGACAGGCCGATCTTCGGCGCGTGCAGCAGAGCCGAGCATCAGACTGGTCAAACCACCAAGTCCTGCGAACCACGCCATGTGTTGCTGCCATTCCGTTAGGCTCTTCACATTTCTTCACTAAAGCCGGAAGTGTCCGCATCTTCGGCGCATGGATGCTCCATCGAATCCTGTCAAGAACCGATTCCAGCAACGTAAAAGCGGCAACGTCCATATGATGTCAGAAAAAGGAGGTCCCGGCAAGGGCGCGAAGCAAGTAAGAGCTGGCAGCAGCACCAAGCAGGCAGCACAGGGTCCGCCCCTTCGAAGCTGTCGTGGCGCCATTTCGAGACGTCAAGGGCAGACTTAAAGCTGTGCTCGTCATAGTCCCCATCATCTTTTCGTTAATCAACTTCTCGCTTGTACAGTCTGTAGCGCAGGAGACAAGTGCAACAAGTGCAGCTCATGTGTACCGGTATATAGCACTATATGGAGCAAAGCCTGCAGCATGCATCATGTCGGCTCTGCAGTCTTGTCGAAACGAGTCCCCCTGCACGTACTCCCACACACACACACACACACACACCTTGCCGCGCTCACGTGCACTCGCATCCCACAAGAACTTCGCGGTGCATGCGGCATTGTCGGTGCCGCATACAGGCGCTGTTCAAAGCCTGCTTTGCATGGTATGACCTTTTCTCCCGCCATTTCCAAGAAGCTGGGTCCAGAGAAAGGCAGTCTATGCGCCTCGTTTGGAACCGTTGTGTCGCAAGCGATGCCCATCGAAAACTCGAAGAACCGTAGCATATCTCTCTTTTGCAGCCGAGCAGCCAAAGATCCGCTCAGCGGCATGGACCGACATACGGTCACTGCAGCGTGGGCCGTGGTGCCATGCGACCACGTTGAAGTTCTGAGATGCTGGGCATTCGCGCAGCAAGTGCGACGTCTATAAATGGGTTGGGGTGTTGATTTGCTGTGGGTGAATGCTTGTGCTTCGTCGCAGTACCCATGTAGGTCGAATTGTTAGCATCGGCGAGCGCCGGATAAAGTGGCAGACAGATGGAGAAAGACATGCGCCAGTAACAAGAATTGCCAGCTGCGGCACCTCATATGGGTCCTTCGGTTCCAACGTCTTCTTTTGGATGATTCGAGCCTCGATGACAACAGGGTCAGCAGTCCCCAGACTTGAGACCAATTAAGAGGTAGATGTCGGTAATCCGTTCCGTCTGCAATCTGCCGGCAAGAAGCATGCGCTTGTTTCAGGGAGAGTATCTCAGCATCCCCCGAAGTCACCTTCACGGCCATCGCGGTGTAGTTGCCTGAAGCCATGCAAGCAGGAGAGAAGCTGCCGAACCCTTTCCCTCTTCGAGAGACCCGAGCCCCGAGCTCAACATCTGTTCCAAGGACGTCAGCGCAGCATCCATGGCATCCTGTCCATGTCAGTGTAAAAAGCCACATGAAAGCGACAGTTGCCGCCCGGTACAGGTGCCTTGCTGAGGAACTCTTCGCGATGGATTGGACTGGTCAGCAGATGAACTAGGCAGAAGAGGCCCTTGGCAAACGTCTTTTGACACGCAGCATGTCAGAAGCTTTAGTCTAGTCGAGGCGCCTGAGAGAGCGCATGTTGCGCTCCGGCGAGGACCTCGAGCTCGAAGCCTTGACTGGAAGCAAACATAATTCTCTGGCGGCGATCCTCAAGCGCGGCAGTGTGCCTTGGACATGAATCTTCAACATATCCACCACCTTGCAGGAGTAGCATCAGGAGCTGGACCGTCCAGCGACAACGGTTTTGAGACATCGACGAGTGGCACTGCTGAGACGGTGTCAACAGACAAAGCGATGCTTCGGACTTCGGGCATCCCAAGCTTTAAGAGCCCGCGAAAAGAAACAGGTGGAGCGGTCAGTCGGGGAGTTCTCTCTACTTTTCTTCAAGCGACCTCAACCTCTTTCTGCGCCAGGTTGTCGATGGTCTCCATGGAGACCTCACTGCAACTTAAACGTCCGAAGCTATCAAAAGCAGCAAACTTGTAATCACTTGACTCTAGAACCCTACCGAGAACCGCGCTCGTTGCACCTCGCAGGGTCACGGCCAGTCTGCTTCAGTCTGTCAGGCAGCAGGCCAGGACATTCACATGTTCTGAATGCTCACGCCTCACAAAAGCCGGGAAAGCCTTGGCATGCAAAAACTCAAAGTCTGCTCAACAGCCATCAGATCACCCCTGATGATCAACAACAGTCTGCCCAACACTACAGCGTGCACATCTCGCCAGAGCGGCCTTGACATTCTCGAAAGGAGGCCTGCGCTGACGCACGCCGCTTCAGGTTGATGTCCAAGTCCTCTACCTGGAAAGATCCAGCTGCCCCATGCAGCCGCCTTCTCCCTTCTTCAGTTATTTGCTTCTTGCCTTTGCGCCCAAGGCCAGCTGCCTCACCGCCAGCTTCGATTGATCGCCGTTCTGACGCAGGCGCCTCCAGGCTCAAGGGCCGAGACTCTCAGACTCTCAGAAGAGACATGCACGGAAGAAGAAAGGCAAGGTTTTGCCAGGGGCCTCAGCAGCGCGGCTGCCTCGAGAGATGGGCCAGCATCTCTGCGCTTAGAAGTGCGCTTCCGACTGGGGCTTCCGGCGGAACCTCGCGTCGCAGCTGCTGAGTCGCGGATGGGCTCAAAGAGGGTGGCGTCGATTTCAAAGAGGTTATGCCTTCACGTCGCAGCAACCGGACATGTGCCGCTGGTTTTCGACCGTGTAACGGGCATTGCGCACGTAGTCTTCTGCCTTCTACACCCTAGCGCTTCACCGTGTCGCGTATGTCGACAACACCAGTACGAGTACTGATAGTACTGGCCACTGCCGTGCTCATACGTACAGTGCTGATGTGCTGCACAGCAGCCGTTGTCTGCTTTGGCTCCCCCAAGAAGACAGCATGTGGACCGCCAAGGTGCCTGAAAAACGAAAGGTTGCTCTGAGAAGGTCGTGTGTAGCTGAGTCAAACCGGCAGAGCCGAGGCGCTGCAGTCGCCCTGGTTGGCACCAACCTCCCACCAGCTCAGAGGATGCGCAGGCCCTGCCCTTGCGAGCGCCAGGGCTGAACGATAAAGGTATCGCTGCATGAACGCCTTGAGATCACCTTGGGACCTTGAGCCTACCCCAGGGTCGACTAGGACCAGGACTTCGTCGCAAGCGCATCTTTGGCAAGCATGGAGATCCTCGGTCACCAGGCTCGGAAATCGCGACCTAAAGCCTGGTCGCCTCGGCGTCACAAACCGAAATTACGGCAGTTTTCGAAGAATAGACCGACGAGGTGATGAAAAAAGCAAGGCGCTGGGCCTTCTCGAACTTCTGAAACTGATAGCTCGCTCAGCCAATCCAAGGACCCTAAATTCAATGGCCTCAAATTAGAACTGGCTAGATACTTCATTTCCGGGTGCGCATCAGCTGCGCAACGACGTTCGGAATTGAAGACTGGAAGCGGTGAGTCTGCATGAGTTTGTTGCTCCCAAGGAGGCAACAAGCGTACTAACCGGCTTTTGCTGGTGACACTTGACCGGTGGTACTCGACGAGGTCGCCACGGCTGGCGACATTACGGGGCAGCGCAGTGGGCTCACTTCCGGCGCGACTGATACTTGTAGGGGTCAGGACGGGTCCACCCAGGAGTTGGCTCTTCTACTTCTTACCGGTGCTTCCGGGCGCGTTGTTGTCCCACCTCACACCTTTTCTTGTGGGGCGACGATGCAGGTGGCGGTTGGTCACCCGAGCTTACATGCATGAATCAAGTTGTGCAAAGGTCATCACTTAGTCTGTTGGGCAGACCCACAAAAAACAAAAACAACCTATGGGCTGTTGGATCGTCTATTTCAACATGCAAGATACAGTTGGGAAATGGGGCAGCAGAGGTCCGAATGCAGAATGCATGACAAAGTGAGATCGACTGTTCCAATCAAGCGCTGCCACTGCGCTTAGATTCTCTTACGTATCTCCGTTCCTGCACTGGCCCAATTATGATCAACTATGAGTCACTGATTTCATGTCACATGCATCGATGGGACTCAAGACTCACTCCATCCAAGCCGCACTACGAGGAATATCCAGTCACCGCAGATAGGCATCCTTCTGGCGCGGACAGCATTACCTAAAGCATCTTTGAATCAGCAAACGCTTCAAGAAAAGACTGCCATGGAAAACCAATGCGAGGTGCAAAACTGCCCATGCGACAGCCACATCTGCAAACAAGCATCTCAAGCTGTCATCTGCTGGCAGTGGGTGCAGCTCCAAAAGAGGTGGCTGGCCTCAGGAGCCGGCATTCGGCTCCCAACACCTGTTCCCTTTCCCTTCCTCGACCCACCCAACATCTCTCGCTGCCTCGCCCTCGCTGCCAGCTGCTCGGCAGCGCTTTTTGACGCAGAATCGGCGGAAGTTCAAGAAACGAAGCCTTACCGAAAAAATCGAGTCGCTACTAGCGAGTACAGCCGAAGTAGACAGCGGGAACTGCCCTGAGGGCCACACCAATGGATCCACATGCACGACAGGCTGCAAGTGCAGCGCCTTTCGCAAACTGCGAGACTGCAAAAGTCGCCAGAGCATTCGCGGCAACTCTATGTTACAGGACAGCTTCCGAGCAGCATGTCAAAGCGGCCCCCTGGCTATATCTAGTCATGTGACTCTTCATGCAAGTAAGCTTTTTGGACTCGTCCCTGCGCCAGTCAACAGAGACAGGCACAGACTCTTCCAGACAGGCAGGCATGTGTGTTTCACATAGAAATAAACTCGAAACTATACGAATATGCATCCACGAAACGTTACATGCACTTTTGTAACCTGGATTCCAAGGTTGGAACTTGGGTTGGAACCTGGGGGAACCTGGTTGAAACCTGGGTTTTGACCTGGATTAAGACTGGGTTTCAACCTGAGTTCAGTTTTTCAAATCCAAGTGTGGGTGAAGCCTGGTTTTCAATCTGGTCAGTTCTTGAAGAACAGACGCTTCTAAACGATTTCAGCGGCGTGTGTCTCTGAAATTTGATTGTCTTCGATTCTGTTTTGATCGCGTTTAAGCCCACCAAAAGCGATTTGGGGCATTATTTTCTTCTAAACCCCTTTCGACGATTTCGTGTCAATCTTTCACACAAACTCGTTCAGAAGCTTCTTTTTTCCAAAAGCCGAGAGACTTCTTTTTGGAGACGAAAGGTTTTTTTTTGAAGGCGTCTGTTCACGTGAACAGATGCCTTTCAACAAAGCAGATACCACGAGATCGCTTAGCAGATTGAAAGCGAATAAAGTAGAAGCAGAAACATAAAAATTCAGAGACAGCATCTGCGGTACGCGGACCCGCAAGCCGAGATGGAAAAACAAAGCGCTTTTGAGATGGCCCCAACTGCAACAGAAAAGCGATGGGCAAGCGAAACTAAGTAAGTTAGGCTCCACTTGCTGCAACACGAGTGAAGTTGATTCTTGCAAGGACCCCAGTTGCATTGATGCGTTCAAAAAATCGTGAATTTCTGAGTTGTTGCAGTTCAACGAAACGGCGTCGCCTGCACAGAAGCTGTTCAGGCTCGTTCCCGATGTCTTGGGGTCTGAGCGAGCGACAGCAAGAAACTTAGACATATATTCCATCAAAACAATAGCAACATGATCCACCATGGCTGCACCGTCTCTCGTCGCTTCGATTCGTTTTGTCCTAGCCCCTGCTCGGAGAAAGTTTGTCTTGAATTCATGCACCGTAAATGCAAGAGCATGTTCACAAATCCATGCGTCTCATGCTCTCTCTTCTGCCCGCTCCGTCAATCAACACTTGCTGCATCAGCTGCAGCTAGACATGTGTCAAGCGTCGTCCAATGCTAGTGTGTAACCTAGCACCGCCTGGAGCAAGTGGAGCACGAAGGGAGGTACAACCAGCAGTCTCTTCAGCGGCGCAGCTGGGCGACCTCCGCATCAAAGCTTCAGAACGAAGTGCAGTGCAAGACTGGAAACCAGGAGTCAAGAGTGATTCCGGGAAGAGGCAATGTAGGAATCCAAGATTGGAGGGACGAAGGACAGCGGCTGATTACCTGCATAATTTGCTGCATAATGCACTTCGCAAAAGACGTCAAAGGTGAATTGAGCTGCGATACATCACAGGCAGCAACCGACTGCCTGATGATATATGGTTATATGGACGTGCGTCCCCTTGATGAACCAGGCCAGAAAGACTGCCCTTCACCCATCACTGGTCGTAACATGCATGGCAAATGCATCGTAGAGGCAGTTTTAGAATCTGCTAGAAATCCCTCTGCATGCTCTGCCCCGCCTGCCTGGAAGAAGTTCCTTCTTCAGCTGCGTCTCACCGAGAGCCAGGAGTGTCGAGATCTCTTCCTGAGACCAAGCCAAGCTGATAGAGCTGCAAATGGAGGACTCGAACCCTGAGGCCACTTCACTTCCAAACTGAGACGGCCTGGATGGCCTCATCCTCCGCAGTCTCCGCGCGCCACGCCTCCAGAAGGAAGAGATCGCATTCGCGCGTTCGCTCGCGAGAGCGACCGTCCTCCGCTGAGCTCTGCCGCGCCTCGCGCAGGAAGTTCACTGCGGCCGACCAGGAAGCCACGCAGGAGGCCACCTGACAAAGCGTTAAAAGCTCCAAACCAAAGTGCGAGCCTGGTGAGAGCGATGCCGGCCCGTGTGCTGATGGACTTTGGAGACATCATGGTGGCAAAGGTCAAGTCCTGTTAAGAAGTGATCGCGGACTGGAAAAGGTGCGATGCTGAGGTCCTGCGGGATGCGGAGGCTGGGATCATCTGGTAAGGCCTGCACATGCCGGATGCGACTGGCCCTGAAGCCTGCTGTTGCTGCGAAAACTGGGAAGGAGCCTCCAGGAATGACAGAAGTCTCCTCTCAGTTTTTTGCTTTTATTCATTGGTGCTGCTGCTGAACGGGCGGCAAGCCCATCCTTTCACTGCCAACGACGGATTGATCATGTAGCCAGGGGCCTACAACGATCTGATTTCGGACAGAAGCTTGCCCAACTGCGCAGAATATTCACGACCCCCCTTCAGTAACCCTCGTTTGCACCTGCATGGCTTTCTATTTGGGGAAATTGTCGCAGGAACAGCAGGACAGCCCCCAGGTGCCACCCGCTGAGCATAATCCTGAGTCTCGGCCACAGCCTGAGAAAGATTTCACACGTCGAGATGCGCAGATGTTGCCAAGGGTCTCGTTCACAGAGATGGGACTCCTCCAGCATTCCGGATTTCTGCCAAGGACCCTTGCTGAACGATCCTGCACCTTCATTGCTACAGCACAAAGCCACGTCCCAAAGTCGAAGCCACGCCAGAGTCAGGCGCAGAGTCCAGAGTGCATCAACACAAGGCGACCCCGGTGTGCGAGTTTTGAAAGGGCTCCTCAGCAGCAAGGTGAAGAGATCCTCCGCAATCTGGAAACCCACACCCACTCGCTGGCTCATCAAGCCATCGGTAAAGAAACCTGGTGGCCCAGGACAACGATGGTTTTTAATTGACACTTCTGAATCTGAAGAAGGCGGCAGCTGATGTGGCGGGCTCTTCGCAAGGCTAGAGATACAACGCGGGATGATATGCAGGGCTCGCCTTCCAGGCTCAACTGGATCAGCGATGCCAGTAGAGCACCCAGCAAGCACTCAGACGCACGCCACCTGACTGTTTAATCTAGAACGCACATTCCGCGGAGATAGCTGGGGCGGCGAGTCTAGGTTGAGACTTGAGACATAAAGTTTAAAGGCAAGGATGACTGCAGCCGGTGCTACCTCATCCTTTCTGGACTCGGCAGCTGCTGCAAGGGTGCCGCATAGATTAAACCCGTACCTGTCAGAATCCGGGTCTCTGAGCATTCCTTACTACATCTTGCGACTTGCGACGGCACCCGCATGCACCCGTGTTCCGTCTCAGCGCGGTACGTAGTCGTCGCCACTCCTCCCCTCGGTCTCTGCAGCTGAAAATGTCCCGAGGGACCTGCCAGGAGCCAGGGGTCTTCAGGGGCCACCCTGAGGGACTGCGAAGCTTTGGCCCCGTGCTTCCGTGACGTTGCAGCAGCTCTGCCAAGCGCTCTCGCCTTGGTGCGCCCCAAGCTCCACAGGGCTTTCACTTTTTTGAAGACTCAGCTGTGCCAAGATGCCCAGGAAGCAGTCCTGCAAACCCGTCCCGTACGTTTCGGAGCGAACCTTGCAGGCCACTACACTCCCTTCCCTTGCAAACCGCGGCCTCGAGTCAAGTGAACCAAGGGTGGACCGAGCCACTGCGCAGCACTCCTCCCAAGTGCGGTTGGACCAGCAACCTGCAGAACGGGAAAGGCCTTTCGTCTCTTCGACCGCTAGAGGATCGGGATCGAAAGAGTCCAAAAAAACCCACAGTACAGGCCCTACAGCCTTCACACATGGATCGCAAGGACTGAGAGAGGCCAGGAGCCCGGCTCTTGAGCAGGAACTTCTGATCCATGCCAGCAGCGCCGCTGGCAAAGCCATAGCCGGCCGATTGGAGGCCTACTACAGCTTAGGTTCAGAGATCCGTCGAATTTCGGGAGTGGTTGCTAGGTGATCGTGGCTGATTGCGGCTGATCGAGCATCGTGAAGTCCTGAAATCAGTACACTGGTGACCAGTCACTGGCGCATGAGATTCTACGTTGTCTTGCTGCGTGTCTCTTGTCTTGCTTCTTTCTGGAGCCTGTGGGGCTGCTCTGAAGATTTGATGTGACATAGCTGCACAAGCCTTTCTACTGAAAAGCCGCACACTTTATGCGCAGAACCGTCACAGAACCATCCTCTACGGCGAGACAAGACCTAGACATTATACAATTCCACACTTCTTTGTTGAATTATAGACTGATTGTTATTTACTTGTTAATTCTCGACTCAAATAAGTCGACATTTACTATGTCTATTTACTAAACCGATTGTCGCATCTACATATACAGGATAGGCCAGATGAGCCATGAATCAGCGTCATGAGCAGTCTGTACCACCCCATCACCCTAATTTGGGCAGGTACTGAGAGAGATCCGACAGCCTCGCTTGTCCTCCACCTACATATGGTTGGTTGTCCAGATTATGGTCCCTTTTTGGGTCCCTAACAAAATACCGCACCTAGTATTTAGGTACCCACAAAGGGACCTTAATTTTTGACAACTACCTAACTACCCATATGCCTGCAACTTAAGGGTCCTGGACATGCTTCACGATGTCTTTAGCAAGGAGGACGGCTCTGCCACGGTGCCGATGTGCAGCTGCCTCTGGACAGGGGTACACGGCCGTGTTGGGGAAAGGGAGGCACCAAAGCGAAACTTCCAAGGGCCACTGCACTGACACGACTCATGGCTCTCGGCTGCACCGAGATCTCAGGCAGATTATAACCGGCGACAGAGGACCGTCCGTGCACAAAAAACTGACCAGTGACAGTGGCTCTTGATGTTCAGTGTCCCAATGTTTCCCGACTCCGATCAGGATTTCTTTCCTTGCAACGCCTGATACAGCCTTTGCATGTCCCAAGCGCTTGTTACACGAACGAACGCAAGCCGCGCCTCGTAGCTTTGGGCATCGTCATGACCAGTTCGACATGGGATGAGCAAGTGTGACCGTGGTCCCACGAAGCACAGCTGATTTTGTCATTCTGCTGCGGCAGAGGCATGCGTTCTGTGCCATGCATGTTCCGGGGCAGAACGTGATCTTTGAATCTTGGACATTCCAACCTGTGACGCTGGAGCCGCTGTTTGCTAGGAAGTGCATGGACTCGGAACTGCTGATGTTCAGGGCTCTGCAGGCGCTTTCGCAAATTGGGATCCCTAAACTGCGAACATGGTACTACTAGTCACAGTCTGGGCTAGCCAGCGGTGATGCAGCATTTTGCCAGAAACATGTGCCCAGCATTGTCCCTCAGAGTCTGCTCGGATCAACCGGGCTTCGCACTCGGCGCTTCCCCGATCAACTCTCAGAATTCACTGTACAGGGCTTGAAATAAACGTCATGTCATGCAGTTGTTCTAGCAGCAAGCGTCTTCGGAACTGCGACTTTGAGACTTCTCTGGACTAGTCCAAGGTTGCTGCCTTTGGCCACAAGTGCCTGACGAAACGAGGGGTCAGGGCCTTGCGAGAATCATAGGAACTGCATGCGAAGCTCGTGTTGCTACTAGTAGTCCGTCCGATTCGCCGATTCGAATCGCAAGCCCAAGAACCAAGGGCATAAAGACCGAGCCATCAGCATCGACATGTCTCCGCTTCAAACGGGCTCGGGCTCACCTAAGTCTAAGAACGGCTCTAAGAGCACTCACAGAGAGCTCCGAGGCTGCATTCTGCAGAAGTCCGCATCGCACCCACTAGGTCCTGATCACTCCGGTGCGCAGCGCACAGCAGTTTGGGAGTCAGGCCGCTAATGTACTATAGGGGGTTATTGTAATTATGGTATAACAGGACCCAAAACCTATTCTGACAATTAAGGGCCCCTTTCATTAGGTTCGTTCTGTCTATGACTCTGACGCTCTGACGCTGTGCGCCGCTTCCAGAAGCGAGCAGCTCTCAGAAAAGTCTTCGAGCCCAACTTGGCCAGGCGACTTCTCTTCACAAGCAGGCCTAGAATAAGAACAAGGGCACAAAGGGCCTCTTTCGGAAACTGGAAACACTGCCATCATACTACATCCACGAGACCCACATTCCTATATTTCCAGTTGAAGCAGAACAGTACCAAGTCAATCTCCTATCACACGGAATACAGTTTCTGCCACCTGATACCGCTGCGTACTTCATTTACACATTCGTTGGGGGTCTCCTGAACTGAGAAAGGATCAGCAGTTGGCTGGCCTCGGCCCGACAGTCAGTTCCAGAGCGCCTGCAGAGTGAAATCGGTTGCTGCCAAAGCGGCTCTCCAGCCATCTTAGGATCAGCCACCAGCTTTGCCGCAGTCTGGCCGCGCTTCGTGGGCGCCGAACTTCAAGTCGGTTGCCTGGCGACAAGACCAGAGACTCGCTGTCACCTGGACCTAGCTTTTCGGCTCTCATGGGGCTCTCATTCAGTGACTAAGATCTTGCAGAGAGAAAGGTTAAGCAATAAGCTTGGGAATCTCGCAGCAGATCAGGCACGGTTTAGTGCAGACACATGAACAGCAAGAGGAGGAATTATGCAACTACCAAGCACCATGCCGGATGTGGATTGTGAAACATCCGAGGTTCAGTGCCCGGACCCCTGCCACGATGATTCAACAAGTCATTCCCGTCGAATGGCACGTCGTGCCGTCATGAAGCGAATTGTGCCACGGTCGAGGACCACCAAGAGCGGCACGCACAACGGACTCGTGACGGCAAGCTGCAGCTTGGCGCTAGCATTGTCAGCATCATTAAGGCTCAGTTCTCGTCCCGAGGCGGCGGTCTTGGAGGATTCCGAACTACGGAGGGACGGAGGGTGCCTGCTTCGAGCTAACAACAGACACATGTTCCCAAACGCTCTGCCATGCTCTGCCCGGGTTCTTGGCCCTCATCCTGAAGTCGCCAGTTTGCAGCGGTCGAAGTTGGAGCGAGGATTCGGAAAACCGCAGACACGAAAGATGTGGGCAGAAGCCAGCTTTCGGAGACACGATTCGATGAAAGAGGCCCTTCCTGGAAGAGGGGTTCCAGACGTAAGGTCTTGTGACCCTCGTTTGATGATCTCTGCCGTGCGGCATGAAGTTCAGCCAGGCTGGTGGCGCAAACACTGAGGTTCATGCTCCGCTAACACTCCCGTTCTTTTTGGAAAGTTTTGGAGGTTGAGGACTTCGGCTCCGACAATTCAAGACTTAGCTGACCGATGGATGATCCTGCCTTGGACGCCTGCGTTGGGCCCCGTGCCGCGATCTCTGCTGCGAGCTCTAGTCGATCGCGCTCAAGTGCCTGCAGCTTCGTGGCTTGCAGGTCTGTGTTTGCGGCCCTGCCATAGCATGACCTGACAGCCCGATCCCAAGGCCGGTCCTTCCGCAGCTCTGCTTTCTCTTCTTCCTGACAAGGCAGGAGCCCTCAACTGGGGGCCTTCCCGTCGAATTCAAAGTTTCGAGCCGAGAGTCTGTGGTCGCCAACTCCTTGTGGCATGTGAAGGGATCTCTCTTCGACTTCGCCTTCTCCTGAGAAAGAGTATGACTCAGGCACAGGGCCAGCCGAGCTCGGACTCTGAGACGCGGGAAGGATGCCTCGGCAATCTTCAAGTCGCGCTGGCGCCGCAATTCGTTCATCTTCCTCAGCCAGCGGCGCTCTCGAGGACTTCTCACGGACTCCGCGACCATCGACCGATGAGCAGAAAGACTACTCTCTATACCTCTACTTTCGTAGCCGCAAGGCGCATAGTATACCACCAAGTCTGGCCAAGGTGCTCGTCATCGGCGTGCTTCTTGAGGCAGTCCCGAGCTGCGGCAATCTTGGCTTCTTGCCCAGCCGGACAATCCTCGGCCACATGTCAGGCAGTCGTCTTGCACAAGGCTGCAACTATGCGTTGGTGATTCGAAGACTGGAGACTTGTACCAGGAAGGGGTCGAGGCTTCGTCAAGGAGCCCCAAGTCGACAGAGCGGTTGAGGCAGTAAGCAAGTCTGCAAGAGCGGAACACTCTCCACCACTTCCTGTTGGACTACAATTTAGCTCTAGCACGAGTGCAGGAGTATATCAGCCGAGATGCCAGCACCTCTCCACCCTCCTCCTCTGTGAAGCCACAGCTAAGAAGGAACTCTTTGGCGCCCGGCAAATCGAAAACCTGCCAAAGAAAGAGCCAAAGCGAGTGGCTGAAAGACCGAAGAGGGCCCGAAAGGTCAAAAGCTCCCTGCTAGATCTTTCGACTTGCGAGACCTTGGCCCGCAGCGCGGCGTTGGAGGTTTTCAGGTGCCGGAACTTCGCCTCGGAAGAAAGCGGCCTGCAAAGCCTCGGCCTTTCTTCGGATTCCTTCGGCCTCTGCCGGGTGCTCCACGATGTTGTTGAGCACTTTGAGGAGGGTGATGTAGCAGGTCTCCTTGCGGCCGGCGGCATATCAGGCCAACAGGCGGGAAGAACCATCGTGAAGTTCCAACAGTCTCCTGCTTCTCCCAAGGGCTCTCAGCTAACCGGTGCAAGGCACCCTGCGGCTCACAGAATCCCATCTTGTGTTGCCCACTCGCTTTTGCAAGACCCTTGTTCCCCCAGGCCTCAGCCATCGGTCGTTCAGCTTAGCTAGAAGAATGGATCGCTCCGTTGATCCGATACGGCTGCGAAGCTATGCTAGCTAGACTGCTGGAGTCATATGCGGATCGATGGAACCAGACATCAAATGGTTTCAAGATCTAATGCTCATAAGGTCAAGCAAGACGGAACAGACCTGCGAAGCCGCAATCCGCGGTGGTGATCTGGCCAAGGCCAAGAAACCTGCGAACATCAAATAAATCAAAGCATGACAGCGGCTATTCCGACACAAGACTGCAGCTAGCAGGGAACAAATTGCGGTCCTGAGCGTCCACTGTCCATGCCTCCGGACATGCCCAAAGCCAGCCGAGGCACTGTGTCAAACCTCAGCGAATCTCATCTCATCGAGGTCTCGATCTGGATGTCCAGAGCCGTTGCAGTCTTTGCGGGTGCAGCTGTGGACTGGGCCCGGGGCCACTTATGTGCCAACATGCGCTGAGCAGATGGTCGCCGATCTGGGTCCGACCTGGCTCACATCTTCGCGTAACCATGCTGCGAAAAGATGCAACTTATGCATGCAATTTCTATAGTTCTGATGTCTTCAAAGGTTCCGGAGCATCGAGATGCTGCAGACCGTTAACAATCAGGATGAGGATGCATCAGACATTCCCTGCAGGCTCTTTGCGCAGCCGCGGTCACCTTCCACCGGGTGCAAGGGCTGAACATGGCGTGATCTGGCCGCATGAAACTGTGCACGCGAACATGACTGACTCTGTGACCGGATATCATCTTCTAGTCATGCTGGCTTGCCACGCTGGGGGGCGAAGCCCTTCCCGTCTTCATTCCGATCAGAGCAACCCGGGTCTCTCTGCCTCGCCCCAAGAGGGATCACAGAAGTCGGCCCCCTCCGGGCTCAAGATGCGGCGCTTCACCTCAAAAGGCGCAGGCGAAGGCGGTTCCGAAGAGACTCTCTGTGTCCGAGCTGCAGCTTCCAGGTCGTTTCCACTGGTGTAGAAGGGATGGCGATTCGAAAGCATCTCGAAGAGGATCACCCCGATCCTTCGAGCTCCGCGACGCTCAAGAGGCCCATCCCAGTCCATTATTGAGCTCAGCCACGACCAGACGTCGGCCCTGTCGCCGTACATACCCGTGTAGACCTGCAGTGGCCGAAGAAGAACGGCCGTGGCAGCTCCACCAGAGCATGCTGGCCCCGCCTCTGGAGCCATGTAGTGAGGCGTTCCAGCTCGCTGCATTACCTTCCACGAAGCAAAGCACGGTGCTGCGCCGTCAGCCCTAGCCCTGCAACGCCCGAGCTCAGGCCTCTTTCGTCTCCTTTGTTGCTAAAATCTCCAGTCCTTCTTCACATCGGGTCACAGAGCTCGAGATCAGAACAGTGTTGCCACCGGCCTCCAGGCAACTTTGGCAGCAGTCGAGCCACTGCGCCGAGAGCACCGGAACGATCATGGATCTCCTGCGCAAAGCGCGTTGCCGCTCCGAGTCGCTGCAGTAACACTCCCCGCTCCCCACCTGCGTGCAGTTCTGCCGAATTCGCTCCATGGTGTCGGACCTAAGCGAAGCGAAGACCGCGAGCGTAGACCAAAGCGCGGATCGCAGATCCGAATGCCGTATAAGCGCGCAGCAGCCCGAAGTCGATGACCTTCACGGGACTGTCCGAGCGCGGCGTCAAGAACAGGACGTTCTCCGGCTTCAGGTCCCTATGAAGCACTCCTCGCGCAGGAGCCGAAGTCTCACCAGAACTGAAACTCCTCTGTTTGAACGAACAGGATATATCCGTTTGGGGTCCTCGATCATGGCAGTAGCTGGCAGCGCTCAGAATTTGCTCGGCATAGGCCGCTGCCATGCCCTCCAACATTGGCTTGCGGAGCGTCCTGCTTCTGACATGACGAAACCGCAACATCGGCTTTCGCCACCGAGCGCTTGGAGCTGAAGCCCTCCTTTGTTGCTCCAAGCGTTCTGCCAGCGAGCCGCCGGCGCAGAGCTCAGTGATCAGGTACATGCAACCTCTGAGAGCCACCATCCCCAAGCGTGAGCAGCTACCCGGTATACCGGTACACCCTCTTCTGAGGGCGAAGCTCTCGGAATCGCGGAAGGCTTCATGGAGGCGCAGCAAATTCACGTGATCCAGGCTCTTGAGCATGGAGATCTCCAACTCCACCAGCTCCTGGAGCCAAACACTCAAAGCTAAGGGAGATCGTTGTATCAATAAGGGGCTTAGGGCGGCTCGGGGCCTTTTTGGGGTAGTTCTCTCAGAAGCTCCCGAAGCTGCGCGGAATCCGCACCATCCGATAGGCGCACCGCCTTCATGGCCCGCACCTCGCCAGTGCCTCAAGCACTGGGTCAGGACCGACGGACCGTTAGGGGGTTTGAAAGTTCAAGACCGCTTCGAACCCTCAGCGAACCAAGTTAAGACTGGATGGGTGACAGCCTGGAGGTTGTTCGTGAAGGGCTCAGGAACGTCCGAGCAATGAACTGCTCCGTGCAAAACTATCCAACCAGGCTCGACCCGCATGGTATCGATGTTGCACATCGTTGAAATGACTGTAAAGGAAGGCACTTGGCACTTCGCAGAGGGCACGATTCAGGACTTGCTTCTGCAAGGGCAACTGCCTGTCGACACTGCCATCCTCTTCCGTTATGCTTGTCGGTGGTAGCAGGGGTCTGTGAGATAGCTTAGCAACTTGGGATATTAGTGGGTCCGTTTCTCTGAACTCGCCCCAACCCCGTTTCCCGGCACCTGCATTCAATGGGGCAAGGAGCTAACAAAGACTCCCCAAAAGCTGCACTTCAGGCAGGAATGAAAGTGGCTCCGCGGCGATACAGCATGGGCCCTGGAGCTTGGGTCGGAGATCTTGCGACTTTTGTGGTCTCGAACCCGACATGCACAGTGATGAGTGAAGACCTAGCATGCTTCGAAAGGCACCGGATCATCCCTATCATCAAATCCAAGGTTCCGGCCGTTGTGGGTCACCTTCATAACTGTGCCGAAAGCACCACGTCCCAAAGCAGCATCATTCTCCGGGAACGTGTACTCCTTCCAGCTACTAGCTCACGCTTCTTGTCAGATACGGTTACGGTACAAGAAGTAGAGTGCTTCTGGTCAGTGCGAGCGTGGCTCCTTCAGCAAGTCTGTCATGTCTCGAGCGCTGGGTACCATTGCAACGTTTGCGAAGCCCACGGCCCGGGATTTTCCCGATGGATCCTCGCAGCGTGACCAGCCGGCACTGGGCTCTTTGAGTGCTGAGCAGGATCCTTCAGCACCGGCGCGGCGCTGATGACAGTCGATGGAGCATCCTTGGAACCGGCTGAGGAGCCAAGAAGCGAGAACATCCTGAAACTGAGGCAAGGAAGCACTGCTGACTCCGCTCAGTCGCTCGCTGCTGCTGGTAGCTTGGTGACCTCCTCCGCCGCTTTCGGCACAGGCCGGGGATATGCCTCTGCCAAACTGCCAGCGCCAGCCAAGGCCCAAGCTCTCGGATCACCGGAAGCGATGCTTGCAGATTGCTTGCCTGGTGTGCGGTGAAGGCCTGGTCTGCGCCAAGCCGCGAGGGCCCGGCCATAGGATGCACCATGGCCTTCACCGCAGTTCCGCTTTGTCCGCCGGTCTTCTGACCTCCAATTTGCCGGGGGACAAGCAGCCGGCGGGGGCCGGCGGTCAGCTCCGTCGCGCCTTTGAGCAGCGGCTGCAGACCGCGGAGGACGAATTCCTGGAAGTCCTCGCACAGCAGCAGCCCATCCAAATCCTGGTCGCACTCCTCGGTCAGAGCAGGCAGACGCCACACGATCTTGCCTGAACGGTGTTAGCAGGTGGCACGGTGGCAAACTCCGGTTTCGGGCGATTTCAGACTTGGATGTTTGCATGATGTTTGCACTGGCCACATGCGGCCATGTGGCTTCTCGACATCTGCGATCAGTGATCAGTACTTTTGAAGAGAAGGCCGCTGTCAGCGAGTTTTCGAAGCCACACCCGAAGAGAGTTTTTTTCCATGCAGGGCCAAGGCATGTCGATTTTACCGGGCTCCCTCATTCACATACGAAGCACGTTGCTTTCCCATCCAAAATCAACAAGCAGCAATACATCCACCGATCTCATCCTTCGGACGCCACGACATGCCACAGCTACTGTACTGCAATTTGCGGCAAAGCAGCTTCAAGAAGGCGGTTTTTTGTCTGGTTGTTCTGCATCGTGACATGCACTGCTCAGGTTGACCGAAGGCGTATTCGACGGATAGCCAAGGCGCTGAGAAGACGTGATCCAAAAGGGTGGTCCCATAAGGGACAGGTGCTCCCTCCGGAAACAGCCGGAGGACCACCTCTCACGACAGAATGTAGACACGGCAGGAGGAGCGGTGCCGCACTCCGCCTGGCCGAAGCCGCGCCGACTTTGGGCTGCGTCTAGGGCTCCACGTGAGAGAAGTCGGTCCTCGCAGACATGCTGAGATCTGTTTAAAGCAAGGAAGACTTCGAGACTTCGAGTCGAAGGTCCTCCTGGCGAAAGGCCAGGTCACAGACCTCTTGCAAGCCGGGCAGCAAAAGGACGTTTTCCTGCGAAGCTCAGGAAGGATACTGAGGTGCTGCCGCTGGTCTTGGAGGCTGCACTGCCGGTGTTTTCAGGCGGATGTATCCAGCCACTCCGTCTGTTTGGAAATTAGACAGACGTTAGCCCTCCAAGCACCAATCTCTGCAGACGTAACAGCACGGGCCTGAGGCGCCTTGGACTTCACATGCTTGTGCCACTTTGGCTGGTGCGTCGGTGAGTGGTCCTGGCAACCCGAAGCGATGTGCAGATATCAGCTTCAGCTTTCAGCCAGTGGATGCTCCTGCCACCTCGCGGGCAAGCCCTGGGACTCACCGGAGGGCAACCTCTGAAACGTCTGCGTGCTGCAGGTCTGACAGAGCTCAACAGCAATACAGCCATACAGTGCAGTTGAGGTGCGTAGGCTGGATGAGCATGTGCCACACTGCAAGGACACGCTTTCTTGCATCAAGTGGAGCAGTGGCTACAGCCCCAGAGTTGCACTCTTGGTGAGAAGTTAGCTGAGAGTGGTGTGGCCACGCACGGCAGGCTAAAGCTTGGCGATAGTCTCGTGCCAAAGTGCATAGCATCTCTGAGCCGAAAGCTGTGTGGCAAGACGAAACTACCTAATTGTTAAGCTTCCCTGGATGACTCTGACATCCATATGCGCAAGCACCAAGCAATCCCCACACTTGCTTCACTGTGGCACCGCCCTGTGCAATAAACGCAATGGCACTGCGGGGTAGCACCGCACGAGGCTCGATTGCAGATTCTGCGAGCGCTGTGCAGCCTGGAGCCAACTGCTTACCACCTCCTGTCACAGGGCAGAATCCTTCTGCAGCAGACTCCGGCACAGTACTGCATGCAGCTTTCAACGACAAAGAACGAAAAATGGTTCGTCTTTCGAGACTTCTGCATCTTCTGCCCTCAAGGGGGGCACCTCGAAGTTGGTGTCCCAGGGCTTCACTTCCAGGGGCGCCCCTTTCACTTCCTCGAAGCACACGGAGATCAGAACCTCTGCCAGTCAAGGTTTCTCAAAGCATGGAAGGAAGCACCTGTGAATGTGTGTTTTCAGATGACACCTCAAATCTCTTGAAGAGCCCCTCGCCACCCCCAGCTATCCCTCAGCTCTGCTCTGGGACGCGGGCGTCGTTCACCGTCAGCTGTGCGGGCCCTGGGGGTTCCGCTTCGGCCAGCTCCTGGCTCAGAGGCTTCTTCTCAGCGCAGCCCAGCACAGCAATGAAGCTGAAGCCGAAACCGCTTTAAAAGGCTTTTGGGGCCCTTGGGGGCTGGCGCCTTGCGGGCTTGTTCTGCATGCATCCGCTCTTGCTCCGCCTTGTCTCTCTCCTGCATGCACCGCTGTGGTGTGCGGCTTCAGACCCCTCCGCAGAGTTCCACTGAGGTGTCAGCGAGCTCAAGAGCCCGGGCAATCTCGTCCCGGGTCTTGATCAGGTCGTCGCGCTCCGACACCACTTTCTGATGAGAGCATGAAGACTACACCGCACATCAACAAGCTTCGCCGGGCGAGCCCGAGCTCTTGGCCACGCCTTGCGTATATCCTTTTCTGTGTCGAGCTGCTCCACTGCCGTTTGGAAGCGCGTGAAGAGCTCCTGTAGAGTCTGAAAGTGAAAGACTGCAGCAACTCCCAACAAGTCAGTGCCTGGTGGGTTCCCACGTAGGCCGTCAGCTGCTCCTGGCTCGAGAGCGGGTCTTGGAAGGCCCATCAAAGTTCCTTCTGCTCCATTCTGCTTGCCGGGGGCTTGCGGAGCTTTTCTGCACTCTCGTTGCACTTCTCGAGCCTTTGCATCCAACAACATAGGTCCCATTACCGGCAGTTCTCAAGAAGATCTGTATCAGGTGGGTCAAGTCACGAAGCCTACTGACGAGCTGCCAGAGCTGGGACGCTTCCAGTTGCATTGGATGGTGGAGCCTGTACATTTCCTGCGAACAGAATGCAAATCTCAACAGCGAGCCGCTGGCATGGAGTCGATCCATGCCGCGCAGCGCTACACAGTGCACTACCCAAGCGGGTAGGTTAACTGCGAGGATGAAATGCTGTGGGTTGACGTGTCGGAGAGGGTGGCTGAGGAAGCTAACTTCTACATGGCAGGTGAGGCTACGGTTCCCCATTGTTCCCGCAGCCCTGGCACGATGTTTCTCGCCAAGACCTCAGTGCTATGCCATGCCACTGTAGAATTTATTGCTACTTTCAGAATCGCAGGCCATAGATCATGGAGCACTGATATTGAGCTGCTGACCTTGCGAAAGCCCTCGCTGCTGCGGCCAGCATTGACTTCGAGCAATGCCTGTGCGATCACAGCAACCTCATTATTCATCTCTAGGATTCTGCAGGCACGATACTACGCAGCTACATGTGCTCAACCAGCTAGCAGCACATCACGTTGCAGATTTGTGCTCTTTGAGAGATTATGATTATTGATGTTGCATTGCCGTGCCTCTTCACACTCCGCAAGCAGCCGCGGTCCATGTCGGGCGAAGTGCGAGGCCACGATCTGAAGATGTTTCTTTCAAGATGTGAGCAGGCACACAGGTCGGCTCAACCCAACCTCCTCGAAGCCGGAGGGAGGCTGCTTGGACACGTTGAGTGCAGTGCGTAAGACCAGAAGCCGCACGTTCTCATTGTACCTCCCAGGCGGCTGCGGATGTCTGCATAGGCGCTGAAGCTCTGCTCTCGGGCGCACAGAGCCGAGGCGTTTCGGCCGTGCTCGCTGTTGCACTCCCCTGAAGGACATGGGGGGCGGCACATCGGGACACATCTACAGGCGACGCAGCCAGTCACGCAGCGTTCCGGAATAGGGCCCCAGCATTCATGGCCAGGCTCGTTGAAGTACGGGTCCTTCCACGGAGGCCGTTTGCGCACATGCTCATGAGTTGACACCCGTCGCACCTCTACCAGCACCAAGCCTTGCAGCGAAACCAACACCTGTCAGCATGCACAAGCACTGACAGTTGCTGGAGAATGCGGCGGTACGATGATGCGGCTGCAACCTGCAATGGTGCGGCAAATGGAAGCAGCAGCAGCAGCAGTGGCAGCGTCAGGGGCAGTAGCAGTAGGAGTTGCGGCAGTGGCAGTAGTAGATACATAGTAGCAGTAGCAGTAGCGGTAGTAGCAGCCGTAGCAGCAGTGGCAGTGGTAGTAGCTGTTGCAGCAGCCGTAGCAGCAGTAGGAATAGGGGTGGCGGCAGTTGCAGTTGCAGTGGCAGTGGCAGCAGTAGTAGTAACAGTAGCAGCAGCGGCAGCAGCCGTAGTAACTAGTAGGAGTACGAGGAGGAGGGCACACCTGTCATTTGTGACTCCCTCTTTCTGTCATTTGTGACTCCCTACGTTCCTGGCTCTTGGCCAGGTAAATGCCCGTCATTTGTGACTCCCTCCGCCTGGCATCACCACACATCACCTCACCCGAAAGTGTTCTTATTCCTTGGCAGGCCTGTGATTTCTTCTCAAACAAGCGCCTGTCATCTGTGACTCCCGACCCTTTTGCCTTGCTTTTCAATGTTATTTTCACACAGCAACACGGGTCATCTGTGACTCCCCGCTTTTTCTTGCTCTGGCCATCTATGACTCCCTACTTTTTCTTGGTTTGGACAGGTTTGCCTTTTCGGTCGAAGCTTCCTGCTGGATTCATTCCTTCGGGTCACTCCTTCAGGTGTTGTCTTCGATCCTTAGGGTTTTCCGTCTTCGGTGAAACGTTCTTCTTGGATTCATCCCTTAGGGTTTCATCTCTGGCTAACGGTTCATGCTGGATTCACTCCTTAGGGTTTTCGCCTTGGGTAACAGATTCCTGCTGGGTTTACTCCTCAAGGTTTTCGTCTTCGGTGAAAGGTTCTTCTTGGATTCACCCTTTAGGGTTTCATCTTCGGCAAAAGGTCCATGCTGGATTCATTCCTTAGGGTTTTCGTCTTCGGTAATAGAATGTTGCTGGGTACACTCCTTAGGGTCTCCGTCTTGGGTGAAAGGTTATTCTTGGATCACCCTTTAGGGTTTCATCTTCGGCAAAAGGTTCATGCTGGATTCACTCCTTAGGGTTTTCGTCTTCGGTAATAGAATGTTGCTGGGTAGACTCCTTAGGGTCTCCGTCTTGGGTGAAAGGTTATTCTTGGATGCACCCCTTAGGGTTTCATCTTCGGCAAAAGGTTCATGCTGGGTCCACTCCCTAGTGGTTTCGTCCTCGGTGCTAGATTCACTCCTTAGGGTTTTGTTTTCGGTAATAGGTACCTGCTGGGTTTAATTCTTAAGGTGTTCGTGTTCGGTGAAAGGTTCTTCTTGGATTCACCCCTTAGGGTTTCACCTTGGGCAAAAGGTGCCTGCTGGATTCACTCCTTAGGGTTTTGTCTTCGGTAATAGGTTCCTGCTGGGTTCACGTATATCTGACACTAGATACTTTATCTATTAGGTATTATTTTCCTATATTTTAACTATGTAATATTATACATTATACCTTATATATTACATATTAAAAATTATATGGTATATATTATATATTATATATAATTTATTATATATTGAAAGTATATATTACATATTAAC